TATCTGAAGGAAGAGCGTTCCAACTTTGGTGAGAGCCTCTCAATCAAGTCCATGCTTTCCGACAAAACATCTGATTCAGTTGGGTTGAGTTCAATGCTGGCCATGTTAAAATAGTTCTTCACTCTAGGCATCACCCATTTTTCGACACAAGCACAACTTATTATGTGTATGTACGTTGAACTTATTTCGAATCGTACGTAGCGAACCGCGCTAATCGGAGGTGCGGTGGACGTGTTATCGTGGCCTAACCATGTGTTTTTGTCCCACCATCTAAGGCACCAACTTTACTTTCCTGATCCATGAGAATACACTTATTATGTAAGTTGTTCCACTCTGGCACTCAAGTATGTGGTCATTTTAGGCGTTGACGCCGATCGTCCCGCTCACCTACAGTACGATATAAATATATTTTACTTGTCCAAATTCGTGGTCAACACCCACAGTGTCCGAACAGTGATTTATGTGGTGGCTGTCATTAGGAAAAAAAAACAACTCCTCACTGAACCTCTTGCAGAATGACATAAGGGCCAGATAAATTAAGCATGGTTCAAGCTACACATTGGATCCGTATGCCATGGACCACTTCATGTGTAAAAAAAAAATATGACTTTTAGAGGGGTGGAAAATGTGGTTGCACCTGCAGAAATAATAAAAAATAATTTAGTGCCACACGGACCAGTAGAGCCTGCTCGTTTAACTTTCACGGTACAAGAGCCGTCACCATTGCTCTTGACTGTTTATTTAAGGTATAATACAGAGCAATTGTGGCTCTTCACCATCCACACTTATGGTTGTTTTATGTGTCAATAAAGGCATGTGTGCATCCCAATTACAAATTAAAAAAAAACATTCCACGACACGGCAAAAATGTAACCTTAAGAGTGACGCTCATGATCACACTATGTTCAATCAGCTATTTCAAATACGTTCAATTCCACAAAATGTAATTGGATGTCACTAAACATAACGAAGGTTGAGTGGGGAGAGTGGCGAAACTGTGGTTTGTGTGGTTCACAAACTGCCCTGCACATCCAGAAGGTTGTATTCCATTCCTGTCCTAGGCTAAGTTTGATTCAATTTACCACGATAAATTAAAATGCAACAACTCCCATGACCATCCTGGCAAGGGGGTGGCTTTCACCCAGCAGTGATCTAACAAATAACTTTAAATTATTATTATTAATAAGGTCCCTAATATGCATTGTGAATATTCAGGGTTTTGGAGAAGCGTTGCATTAAATATTACGTTATATTCCGTAGCAACTGTAGATGTTGTTGAGAGGCCACCGTTGCATTCCAAACCTATTATGCTGGACCTTGCGTATAGGAGCAATTTACCGCTCACACGAGCGTGGGATGGCATTTATCTCCCATACACAGCTCTGAGCTACTCGTGGGAATTCCACATTCTTATGGCAGTTGCCAGTTTATCAATAAGACCAAGCACCAGCCTCTTTCATCACAAACCGATATTGTAATCATATTCTTAAATAAAAGTCGAAGCAGGTTTCGCTGACCATACAAGTGTGGTGTGGCTCCGTGCCCTTCTTTATACAACTGTGCACGACTGGTGGACATTCCGCATTGATATAGCAGTGGCCAGTAAGGGCGCATGTCACCATCCACTGTTGACTTGTCACAACGTGGTATGCAGTCTTCAAACAAAGCCATACGAACAGGTTTGAAGTGACATGGACGGTATTTTCCACTCAACAATTATTGAGTGGCAAACAAACCCTGCGAGACCGTGACTGTGTAAATAAGATGGTGTTTGCCGATAACACATTGGGGTATCTGCTAATGGGAAAAAAACTGATAGTATATCATTTCAAAACTGTTTACATCAGCTCCTTGCACAATTTTCAAGGCATCAGAGTAAAAAGTGCGCTCTCCACCCATAAGCAGCTCGATCTTTGAAGGACCATTACCTGAAACGTCAGTTTATACGTCTGTTATTATTAAGAACATAGCCCGAGTGTTCATTCGGCAAGAGTACTCCAACGTGAAAAAAATCCCCAGAAACCTTTATATGGCGTTGACGCTTAAGTGTTTTTCGACCACCAACTATAGTGACCAGTTACGTACACACCACGTTAAGCAAACATTTCCCCTAGATTGAAACGACTTAATTGGAAAAATTCCCTTAATTTACAAGAACACATTCGTTTACATTGGTATAGATAAGAAACCAAGATAAATATTCACTCGTTGTTTTAGGCCAGTGAACCCCAGGATGACATCCTGCAGCCGCATTTCAGAGGTTTGCTTCAATAAACACCTTAACTTGAAAAACAAAGGAAATGTAATTTTAACGCAAGTTGTTTTAAGTCAGACATGCCAGTGGCCATATGTGTAAAACAACTCAATTCATTTTCCCCCTCATTCAAGTCGACTGCTTTAAATGGCACATTAAATACATGTACTGTATTCCACTCGACTTATGCCACAGACCCAGAGCAGATTCGAAACGATCACTCGCTCACCAACTCGCCAAATCACTCAACGTGTGTTATTGAAACCACTTCAGATTAACTATCGACGGGACCTCTTTTTGCCAGTATCAAAAAAAGCTGCATTGTCTTTCGACTGTTCGCCTTTTGGCGCTCTCTGATCTAACACTGGTGTAGGCCAATCCGTTTCATAGACAATGTTAATAAAATGATCAGAGCATGTTTGTGTGCATGTTTTGCCACAAGTACTGTGTGGTTAATGCAGACTTGATGCCTTCCAAAAGGCTTATATTTGGTGTTTGGACATCTTAACACTTCATCTTTTATTGCCAGAGAGGGTAAAAACTTTTCTTAATTTTACTTGAGCTTACGTTGTTTATTTCATAACTCCCAGTTTGTTGAGGAGTCGCTCACTTTCCCATTCACTCGTCACTAAAATGAAACTAATCAAATAAGTTGTTTAGGCCACAGATCCCAGCAAAATGTAACGCACCTCACCCATTCGCGCACCATCACCATGAAACTATTTCAACTTGAGGTTTTATGCCCCACAGATCCAAGCAGATTCCTAAGCACCACTCACAATCACAATGAAGCTATATCAACATGTTTTTTTATGCCACAGTTCCCAGAACATCCTTCAGGGCTAACCACTCACTATGACCATGTAAAGAGGTGATATTGACATTTGTGCTCAACATCACCATGGAACAATACGAAACTGGAAATGTTACTTACATTACGGTGGTATATACAGTAGCGTGTACCATATACCCATCAGAACTTTAAGAGCCACCACTCACCATGAAACGACATCGAAATGTCATTTCAATTGCTATTCCAAAGAAGCCGGCAAATTCACTATCAACAGAAATCCATTTGAGTTATACCGTACACAGACAACAGAATATCTTTAAGGGCCCCTTACACATCAATTACTGGACATGTGTGAAAAGGAGCTTTATAGCTCATCGGATTCCTCCAGTATGAATGCATATTCAGATTATGACTTGCCTACCACACAAACATTCACTCACCATCACAACCACCACATGTAACTACCTCGCCTGATATACAGGAGGTCGTGGGTTCGATCCGGACCCTGACGCCTATATATTTGGAGTCTGCGTCTCTCTCCTCCCGTGGTCGCTTGGGATTTTTCTTCGGGTCCTCCGGGTTTTCCCCTTCACATTTCGAATGAACACCACAACAGAGTATGCCGGCATCTAGAAATGTCCACGTGACGATAAGCCAACTTCGTTTGAGGTTATAATTTGCGATAGCCAGGTCGTTTCTGAAAAAAGCGCAACACGGTCTCGGTGGGCCTTCACCTTGGTAACATAAATAAAGTTTAGTTTGCAAGTTTAAATAGTTTGTCCAACACACAACTCACATTAACCCAGACCTGCAACCCCCTTATCAGTGCCTACAGTACCTCATTACAGACCAATTCAGACCTTATTGGTCACGCCGTGCCCTTATAAATCTCAACGTTCATCCTAAAAAAAAGTCCCATCACAAGAGAGAAACACAAACTAAGACAAAAAAATTAAAACTCAATTTCCCTGTACAAGAATACGGGTTAACCCGTTTGGGTTGACAGGGTATGCTATATTTTGATTTAAAGCTTTCGTGACTGCAGGGATGCTATATCTATGGATCTCTATGTATCTCTGTGGGTCTCTATGGATGTCTATGGATCTCTGTCTATAATAATACCTGTCAACCCCTTATCAGTGCCTGCCTTATTACAGACTTTGGTGGTCACCCCGTGCCCTTATAAATCTCAACGTTCATCCTAAAAAAAAGTCCCATCACAAGGGAGAAACAATTTTCAATTTAAAGCTTTCGTGACTGCAGGGATTAATATTCTTGGTTCTTTCGGTAGTCACGTAGAAGGGAAATAATAAACTACTAAAAAAATAAAACAATCAAATTCTCACGACGTTTCGATTGCAACACAAGCAATCATCATCATTAGGTGTGAAGAAAACCACAGCAAGAAAATTGATGATTGCTTGTGTCGCAATCGAAACGTCGTGAGAATTGTTTTATTTTTATTATTTCCCTTCTACGTGACTTTACCGAAAGAACCAAGAATAAGGGAGAAACACAAACAAACAAACAGGACCAGTCACAAGCTAATCACTCAACCATTTCAATGCTAAATCATATGCCAATTCCTTTGTCAAGGCGCTTTGTTTCTTCTCACACAGCTTAAAGGTCGTGATCTGAGCGTGGCTTTTTTCACTCCAGCGCTGTCCTCCAGACAGTCTCGTCCCTTTCACCTGATGAAGGCCGCTTGTGTTGTGGCCGAAACGTCGTGATTTTTGTTATTTTATTTTTTTACCTACGTGACTTTACCCAATAGAACCAAAGAGTAAGGACACATTTTTCTTTGCCCGTATTCAAAACGTCTGTAACGCCCGTACAGACCTGAATTGTTTTTTTTAAAACCTCAATTTCCCCGTACAATAACACGGTGGGGGTGGGGGGTGGGTGAGTTAAAAACTCCCCGCACGTGTTGACGCGGACATCTCAAACCCAGACCTTTTGATCGACGACGGCGCAGGCGAGATTCCGCACGGCCGATGACCCCGGTGGCTCTGCAGAGTCCACGGTGACCGTCTCTCGGGCCAGGCCGATCTGCAGCTGGAAGGAGACCCCCGTGGCTGCCTCCCTGCCCGACACAGCAGTCATCGTGGCTGGCAGGGCACTGCTGCTGCTGCTACTACTGGCGCTGTTGTTGATGGTGGTGGTGATGGTGGTGATGGTCGACGGGTACCGGTTGCACGGGGCCATCGTCAACCCAGGTCCTCCGTTGGTGGCCCTTCCGCTGGAGAGAGGGCCCGAAACGTTGCTGCTGCTGCTGTTGTTGCTGCTGGTGGTGGTGTTGGCGGTGGACATTGCCATGGTGGCTGGCCGGAAGGAAGGTCCACGTTGGACGGTAGAGGGAGTTTGTCGCGTTTTGAGTGTTGCCGATGATGTTTGTTGGCTTTGAGATGTCACTGGAGTGTGTGTGTGGTTAACGGTACCCTTCCTCACCTTCGTCCTGATGTCCTCTTGCCCAAACCTCCCTTTTTGTTATTGTTGTTAATATCGATGGCGTTTTTGATGTTCGCTGCTGCTTTGCGTTTGATGGCGAAGTTGACGCTGCTACCCGTTAATGTTTATACGCGGCCCAGTGCCGTCACTGCTGCTACATTTGATTCTGTTTTTTCGCCGCTGTTGTTGCTATTCCTGTTACTGCTGCAAATCTCGCCGCCACCGCTGTTACTGTCGAAGTTCCTGTTGTCGATGTTACCACTGTACTTCTTGTCGCCGCTCGTTAAAGTTCAACTACAGCGCAGCTTGCTGTTGCGACTGTTATTGTTGCCAGCGCTGTTACCACGATTACTACTGCACGATATTCACTAAAAACCACGAACGTCAACTCGGCAAATACCACCGTAGAGCGAGACGGCAGGCAGGCAGGCAGGCCCACCGCCCCCCTTGTCTTCACAGCCCCGTGCCGCCCACACGGATGAAGAAATAGACGCAGCAGTCGCAGCCATAGGGGGGAAACATCGCGGCCATGTGGTGGTGGTGGTGATGGTTGTGGTGGTGGTGGTTGTGGTGGTGGTGGTTGTGGTGGTGGTGGTTGTGGTGGTGGTGGGGAAGGCAAAGCGCGGGTCCGGCCCGGGTCCAGCCCGCGCGCTGCCAGCAGCGACAGCTCCCAGTCGCCCTCTCCCCTCTCTCTCCTCTCCTCTCCCGTCTATCCTCTCTCTCCTCTCGTCTCTCCTCTCCCGTCTCGGTCTCTCTCTCACGCCGGCGATTCGCGCTTCAACTCGCGCGCTACTGCAAACAGCAGCAGGGGCAGCAGCGACAACCCCCACGGCGGGGGGGGGGGTTGGTGGTGATGGGCAATGAGCGGTGGTCCGCCAGCCGATAGATGAAGAGGGAGCGAGCGAGCGAGCGAGGCACCGTCGCTATTGTTCTCTCGCTGGACGGGGCGATTCCACTGCCCCTCCCCCTCCGCCTCTACCCCCCCCCGCCACCACCGTCGGCGCTGCTGAGTTGGCACCCCCCCCCCCGACCTCCCTCGCCCCCCCCTCCACCCCCCCCGACCCCCCCCCCTCGCTCTCCCCCCTCGCCCCCCCCCGACCCCCCTCGCTGTCCCCCTCGCTCCACCCCCTCGCCTGCTCGCCCCCCCTCGACCACCCCTCGACCCCCCCCCACGCCCCCCCCCTCGACCTCCCCCCTCGACCCCCCCCCACCTCGACCCCTCCCCGACCCCCCCCGAGAACTCCCCCAACCCCCCCCTTCGACCCCCCCCTCGACCCCCCCACCCTCGACCCCCCCCTTCGACCCCCCCCTCGACCCCCCCCCTTCGACCCCCCCCTCGACCCCCCCCCTTCGACCCCCCCCTCGACCCCCCCCCCCCTCGACCCCCCCCCCTTCGACCCCCCCCCTTCGACCCCCCCCCCCCTTCGACCCCCCCCCCCCCTTCGACCCCCCCCCTTCGACCCCCCCCTCGACACCTCCCCCTCGCCCCTCGCCCGTCGCCCCTCCCTCGCCCCCCCCCCTCGCCCACCCCCTCTCGCTGTCCCCCTCGCCCCCCCCCTCGCCCACCCCCTCTCGCTGTCCCCCTCGCCCCCCCCTCGCTTCCCCCCACCCACTTACACCCCACCCACATCCACCACACCCCATCCCCGTCGCTTTAGAAACCCTACAACGCATCGAGCGCATCGCAATTGGTGGAAGCGCGCGCGCCGGGCCGCCGCCTTCTCGACGCCCGTTGGTCGCAGCTGCAGCCCGCGGGCCAATCGCGTCGCTCGGGCGCGCGCGCGCGTGCGGGCTACGCAATGTAATAGCGCGGCTCCGGAAAGCTCGTGGCGATGTTGTGTGGTGGTGGGGGGTAGCGGCTTGGTGGTCGGTGCCAGGTCAGAGGGTTTTTTAAAACTACAATTTGGAGGGAAAGTATCAGCGTTCCAAAATGTGTGAAAAAATGGATTTTTAGAGGCAGCCTTTAGTGTTTCTAGAGGGAGTTTCTCTCAGGGTTTTCTCGCCGGCTCGAAAGAAAAAAGGCCTAACAGTGTACACACTTTTGGACACACTTTTTCGCTCTGTGGCAATAGAGGAAAAAAAAACGATTTTCGTTTTAAAAAATATCACGGTTTTAAGTCCCCGGGTTAAGTTGCAGAAATAGTTTCAGTTGGGTTTTCCCTCAACTTGCGTGACAAACGACGTGAATCTCACGCTGAGGGTGTCTTACGAAACGTCTTATAGTTTTACTTCAGCCAAAGACTCGCACGCCGCTATACTAATAGACTCTTGTAAGACCCCCAGGGCGATGTGGAACGCGTTCTTGAGGGACGTCGTCGGTCGCGGAGATGGAGCGATGAAACAAGTTATTGCGTAGAAAGTAAAGTTTCTAGGTGGATTGTGTTGCAGGGGAGGACTTCATTCAGCGTCGGATTAATCGTGCCCGAATATTACGACGGATTTTTTTTTGTTTTATCCGTCGCCTAATAAATACATCGCAACAATATTTAACACTGATTGCGTGCCACTTGTAGTTGGTCAAATACGTGACGACGTCGTGTTTAGTAGTTACGGTTGCAATTTTTTTTATTAGAAGTTAGGTGGTTCGTGGCCGTATAAATTATAGCGCCTACTGATACTATTGTGTGTAGGGTAGTGTAGTCAGTAGATACTACTATTGTGTATAGTCAGTAGATACTACTATCGTGTGTAGTCAGTAGATAATACTATTGTGTGTAGTCAGTAGATACTATTATTGTGTGTGGGTGTGTAGTCAGTAGATACTCCTATTGTGTGTAGGGTGTGTAGTCAGTATATAATACTATTGTGTGTAGTCAGTAGATATTATTATTGTGTGTGGGTGTGTAGTCAGTATATACTACTATTATGTGTAGGGTGTGTAGTAATTATATAATCGATTGGTAATCAGTCAATGATTATGATTAGTAATGAGTTGTAGATTAGTAATTAGTTGTAATGTGTGTTATTGTGATTATAATAATCTACAATGCCCCTCCGCCTCAAATCACTGCACCTGAATGAGTTAAATGATGACGTCACCCTGCTGCTGCTCTATTTAAGACCGGGAGCAAGTGGAGAGGGCTTTACCATTCTGGCGAATTGCCCGATGATGCTGGATGTAATTACCAGCGAAACGTCGTACTCAAACTGTAAATGTTGTGGATTCACTCTTTAACACACCGGTGGACTAAAGTAGTGAACTATTTGTCTTTTGTCAACGTGACACTTTTTTTGCTGATTGGCCGTGTCGGGTGGTGGAGGGTTACGACACATTTATACATAATGCGATCTAACCCAAAAAACATTTACAGTGAGGGAAAAAAGTATTTAATCCCCTGCTGATTTTGTACGTTTGACCACTGACAAAGAAATGAGCAGTCTATAATTTTAATGGTAGGTTTATTTGAACAGTGAGAGACAGAATAACAACAAAAATCCAGAAAAACGCATGTCAAAAATGTTATCAATTGATTTGCATTTTAATGAGGGAAATAAGTATTTGACCCCTCTGCAAAACATGGCTTAGTACTTGGTGGCAAAACCCTTGTTGGCAATCACAGAGGTCAGACGTTTCTTGTAGTTGGCCACCAGGTTTGCACACATCTCAGGAGGGATTTTGTCCCACTCCTCTTTGCAGATCTTCTCCAAGTCATTAAGGTTTCGAGGCTGACGTTTGCCAAGTCGAACCTTCTGCTCCCTCCACAGATTTTCTATGGGATTAAGGTCTGGAGACTGGCTAGGCCACTCCAGGACCTTAATATACTTCTTCTTGAGCCACTCCTTTGTTGCCTTGGCCTTATGTTTTGGGTCATTATGCTGGAATACCCATCCACGACCGATTTTCAATGCCCTGGCTGAGGGAAGGAGGTTCTCACCCAAGATTTAACGGTACATGGCCCCGTCCATCGTCCCTTTGATGCGGTGAAGTTGTCCTGTCCCCTTAGCAGAAAAACACCCCCAAAGCATAATGTTTCCACCTCCATGTTTGACGGTGGGGATGGTGTTCTTGGGGTCATAGGCAGCATTCCTCCTCCTCCAAACACGGCGAGTTGAGTTGTTGCCAAAGAGCTCCATTTTGGTCTCATCTGACCACAACACTTTCACCCAGTTGTCCTCTAAATCATTCAGATGTTCATTGGCAAACTTCAGATGGGCATGTATATGTGCTTTCTTGAGCAGGGGGACCTTGCGGGCGCTGCAGGATTTCAGTCCTTCACGCCGTAGTGTGTTACCAATTGTTTTCTTGACGACTATGGTCCCAGCTGCCTTGAGATCATTGACAAGATCCTCCCGTGTAGTTCTGGGCTGATTCCTCACCGTTCTCATGATCATTGCAACTCCACGAGGTGAGATCTTGCATGGAGCCCCAGGCCGAGGGAGATTGACAGTTATTTTGTGTTTCTTACATTTGCGAATAATCGCACCAACTGTTGTCACCTTCTCACCAAGCTGCTTGGCAATGGTCTTGTAGCCCATTCCAGCCTTGTGTAGGTCTACAATCTTGTCCCTGACATCCTTGGAGAGCTCTTTGGTCTTGGCCATGGTAGAGAGTTTGGAATCTGATTGATTGCTTCTGTTGACAGGTGTCTTTTATTCAGGTAACAAGCTGAGATTAGGAGCACTCCCTTTAATAGTGTCCTCCTAATCTCAGCTCATTACCTGTTTAAAAGACACCTGGGAGCCAGAAATCTTTCTGATTGAGAGGGGGTCAAATACTTATTTCCCTTATTAAAATGCAAATCAATTGATAACATTTTTGACATGTGTTTTTCTGGATTTTTTTGTTGTTATTCTGTCTCTCACTGTTCAAATACACCTACCATTAAAATTATAGACTGATTATTTCTTTGTCAGTGGGCAAACGTACAAAATCAGCAGGGGATCAAATACTTTTTTCCCTCACTGTATTATGAATATTGGTCGCGAAAGCCTACATGTTAAACAGATACTACTATTGTGTGTAGTCAGTAGATACTACTATTGTGTAGGGTGTGTAGTCAGTAGATAATACTATTGTGTGTAGGGTAGTGTAGTCAGTAGATAATACTATTGTGTGTAGGGTATAGTCAGTAGATACTATTGTGTGTAGGGTGTGTGGTCAGTAGATACTACTATTGTGTGTAGGGTGTGTAGTAATTATATAATCGATTGGTAATCAGTCAATGATTATGATTAGTAATGAGTTGTAGATTAGTAATTAGTTGTAATGTGTGTTATTGTGATTATAATAATCTACAATACCCCCCCCCCCTCCGCCTCAAATCACTGCACCTGAATGAGTTAAATGATGACGTCACCCTGCTGCTGCTCTATTTAAGACCGGGAGCAAGTGGAGAGGGCTTTACCATTCTGGCGAATTGCCCGATGATGCTGGATGGAATTACCAGCGAAACGTCGTACTCAAACTGTAAATGTTGTGGATTCACTCTTCAACACACCGGTGGGCTAAAGTAGTGAACTATTTGTCTTTTGTCAACGTGACACTTTTTTGCTGATTGGCCATGTTGGGTGGTGGAGGGTTACGACACATTTATACATAATGCGATCTAACCCAAAAACATTTACAGTGAGGGAAAAAAAGTATTTGATCCCCTGCTGATTTTGTACGTTTGCCCACTGACAAAGAAATGATCAGTCTATAATTTTAATGGTAGGTTTATTTGAACAGTGAGAGACAGAATAACAACAAAAATCCAGAAAAACGCATGTCAAAAATGTTATCAATTGATTTGCATTTTAATGAGGGAAATAAGTATTTGACCCCTCTGCAAAACATGGCTTAGTACTTGGTGGCAAAACCCTTGTTGGCAATCACAGAGGTCAGACGTTTCTTGTAGTTGGCCACCAGGTTTGCACACATCTCAGGAGGGATTTTGTCCCACTCCTCTTTGCAGATCTTCTCCA